TAAATTACTACAACTGAGTCTGATTCGTGCTAAGTATCTTGTTATTTAAAGCAGCTATCATCTGACAGAACAGAGTCCATTAAAATACGTTTAAGGAGATACACATAGAATTATTGGACATTAAACAGCCAATATAATTTTCAATGCTCTTTAAATAAATCATTTTTATTTTTATTAGCGGTAACACAAAGCCAAATTCAAGACAAATTTTTAAGAATAATTCCTATAAAAAACAATAACCGAATCATAGAACAAATATTAATTCAACTTGTAAGTAAAGTATGGGCATTGACAGATCATAATTCAGTTAAACAAAAATCATTTAAAAGCATTAAAAAACTAGCCTTTATGTAATTTCTGTCTAATAGTAAGACACAAACTTTGACAAGTGAATCCAAAATATCAGCTTGATAGATCTATATTTTTAAATGGCATTGAGTGGAAAAGTCCAAATTACTTTACGTTTCAATGAACGAAATAGTGGTTTTATATATTCGACAGTCTGTGCATAAGTCGCACTAGCCATCTTTCCAGAGTATGAAAGCTTCTCATCTCTCGGCCTGGAATTCAGTTTGTTGCCCCATATCGTCAACAAATACTAGATATAATTAAAGATAACAGAATACCTTAAAATATCTTAATGTGAATTCACAAGCTTTTTCACGCCCTTTAATATCATCATCATAATTAGCTTCAGTATAGATGATAGGAGCTTTTGTGTCTACAAGGCCGGCAGAAATCTGAACCGCAGCCTTTGTAGCATCATCAGTCGCAGTAGATTCATGCTTAGCTACATACTTAGATAGGGCGAATTTCATCCCTGTTAGATCTGATTCGGTGAGCATATCATCTTTGATAACAACTTCAAGAGAACCTCCTTCTGACGAACTTCCACTCACTACTTGCAACTTCCTATTGACAGCAAAGACATCTTCATCATCTGCGTCATCAACCTAGATATAAAAAATCGCATGCTTGGGCCATACTTTGTCCAATGCCTCAATCAAATCATTGCGGAAGCCTTTTGTCTCAGGCTCTAACAGTTGAACACGCTTAAGTCTTTGAAATGTATCCCAATCACTCTCTCCAAAAATACGAATAGGCTGATTTCTTTCTCTGAGAAGCTTAACAACCTCCCGCCGTGGCATAATATTGCCCTTTTCTTTTTCCTCGCGAGTTCGCTCCTCAAATTTTTTTAACAAAAGATTTTCTTCTTCATTCTATATTATCTAAGCGTGTGCAAATTAATATTACGGGCGTCTTGAGGATTGGGTCTAGGTCACAAAGAGCGGAGCCATGGGCTGACCTAAGAAGTTTTGATTTTTTTACATATTCATCCTCCTCCAAGATAATCAGCTGAGAGCGCTTAAAATAAGTTTTTCCTTCGGACTAAGAAGATATAAACAGAATGTTCCTACTAGTAGTTTACTGTCCTCAAGATTTTTCCGCTTCCTGAGGATTTCGGCTTTAACGAGATCCATAAGGACTGCGACGAATCACGAAGGTTAAAAGAAGCCCGGCAAAAGATATCAATCGTAGGTAAAGTTTACCATTAAATAAGTAGGAAGCTTTAAAGTGAAATTAGAATTATTTTGTTAATATATTAAAGAGTCTTAACGCTTATAAATCTAATTTTCTTTAGACCATGCTAGCAAATTCAATTCGAGATAAATTAACAAGTATAGAAAAAAGTATCAAGATATTGTGGCTTTTATATTAATCTTAGTCTCCTGTTGATAAATAGATGTGGTCTTATTTCGGTTTTGCAACTTGGTCGTGTTGCAAGGGCTATTTATTTGGTCGTACCTTATCCAAAGTCCTCTGTGACATTAATTATCATATTTCCAAGCGTCGGACCGTATATGCTCAGGCCTTACACTGAAATCGTAGTAGGCCTCGTCAGTGAGTCTTTTCATTCTCGGCACTAAGCTACAACTCGTTAAGAAGACAAATAAAGTCAATTCTTTAATCAACTTCTAACGAAGCGGTTATGAAAATACTCTTCTTTCAGTCCTGACCCCTATATCTACTCCACACTATCCTATCTCATTCTTACCCTATCAAAAATTCCGACTTGTTTATATTACACTACTCAAAAACATGCGCGCTTTTGGTGAGTTTAACTTATTACCATCACACTTGTGTTTGCTCTGCCCTCCTCACTTTCGAGTGGCTGATCCGATTGAGACTTCCTATCCGGATCTGCATCATGGGCTCGCAGTTCTGTTTCTTATTTTTCATATTGAACGATTTCACTTGTTTTCATCCTCAGTGTACTTTTTATGTCGGGTGGTATTTTTCAGCTTTTTACTAGCCTCACCTGCAGACCGCCTAGGCCTTGATTACCATACTTGTGGATATTAGGCATTGTCTACAAACAGCGGCCCCTTGCCAAACCCAGGTCAGACCACATTACTTCAACACTAATTTGTTTTTTTCTTTATTTAAAT